AGAGAAACCCTGTCTCGAAAATCAAAAAAAAAAAGAAATGTTTCTCTATCTCAGGGAGTCAGTCTGTCTGTCTGTCTGTCTGTCTGTCTGTCTGTCTGTCTGTCTGTCTCTCTCTCTCTCTCTCTCTCTCTCTCTCTCTGCCAAAAGGAGAAATGATGTACACGTGAACCACTGGAGACTCAAATACACATATTGCTAACTGACAGATGGCCAAGCAGGGGCAGCTGAGCAGAATGGCACCCTCAGCAAAATCTATCAACTCTCATAAGATACTCATTTTTAAAAAAGATTTATTTATTTATTATGTATACAGTCTTCTGTCTGCATATATCCCTACCTAGCAGAAGAGGGCACCAGATCTCATTATAGATGGTTGTAAGCCACCACGTGGTTGCTGGGAATTGAACTCAGGACCTCTGGAAGAGCAGCCAGTGCTCTTAACCATTGGCTGGAAAAATACTCATCTTTTGTGAGAGCAAACTGTTTGTCTAGAGACAACTTTGTTTTGTTGGTTCTCTTCTTCTACCCCACGTGGCTCTGAAGGACTGAAGAACTGAGTGCTCCTCCTATCTTCCCAGCCATGTTACCTGCTCCTCTCCAGGAGTTCTCACTCTCTCAAGTTGGTCCGTATTCTGTTATTGGTTCGATTTTTTCTTTTTTGGGGGGCTTGCCAACCAGCTTCCAAATAAATCACACAGGAAGGCTTAATTATGAATGCCCAGCCTTAGCTTGGCTTGTTTCTAGCCAGCTTTTCTTATCTTAAATTATCCCATCTACCTTTTGCCCCTGGGCTTTTCCCATTCTCTTCTGTAAATCTTACTCCGTGGCTTGCTGTGTAGCTGGGTGGCTGACCCCTGGAGTCCTCCTCCTTCTCTGGCTTGTTCCTTCTTTTTTCTTCCTCCCAGATTTCTCCTTCTATGTATTCTCTCTGCCTGCCAGCCCTGTCAGTCCTTTCTCCTGCCTTGTTATTGGCTGTTCAGTTCTTTACTAGACCATCAGGTGTTTTAGACAGGCACAGTAACACAGCTTCACAGATTTAAACAAGTGCAACATAAACAAAAGTAACACACCTTAAAATAATATTCTACAATACTCAGATTCTAGCAGCTTATCAATCATTCTTTAAATATTTCTGACATAAGGTCCTGGGAGATTCTGGGTAGCCTTTGATCTGAGCAAGCCCTGACCAACCCTCTGGATCTACCTGTCTCCAGTTTTTAGGCCAGGGTGCCCTGTGACCTTAATTCTGTTGTGACCTTTGATGGACCTGAGTTGCAGATTTTATATTTTTCACCTTTTTTTCTTTTTTTGCTATGAGGACAGGAGTGATAATGTCCAAGTTCTCTTCATGTCAGAGGTTAAACTACTTTATTATTTATTTATTTGTTTGTTTTTTTGAGACAGGGTCTCAACTATGTAGTCCTAGGTATCCTGGAACTCACTCTGTAGACCAGGCCAGACTTGAATTCACAGAAATTCGCCTGCCTCTACCTCCTGAGTACTGGGATTAAAGGCGTGCACCACCACATTTGGCCCAAACTTCTTTTTAAATCCTTGTTTAGTATCTTACTGTATCAATGTAGGTCAACATTTTTAAAGTTTTGACATGTACTGCTAAATTTCCTTCCATGGGGCTTTATTAAAATAATCTAAGCACATTTTTATTACTTTATTTTCTGATTTCCAAATCGTCATTGTTTCCTCAAGATGAAGTCCACACAGCCCTGCCAAGCATGCATTCCTTGGGTGGGTGAGCCGTCACTGAGATCTTTTGTACAATTTAGCCCTCTTTGTTCTTCACTGTGATCACCAAGAACTGCCTTGCCCTCTCTGTCTACAGTGACTGCTGGGCTTCCTGTCCCCAGGATGCCGATAGTGTTCACTCTGCTTCTGCCCTGCTCCGCCTTTCCCGGGCACCCCGTCCTGCTGCCGGCTTGCTCACCTTGTCCTCAGACTTCTGCTGTCCAGGAGCTTACTCCCAGAGAGCCCAGCATTTTGTTCCGTGTCAGCAGGAGGTCTACAGCACCGTGGTGCACACACAGCCTGCTGCAGCGAGAGGGCTGGTTCAGGCCATAACCTAGGGCTTCTGCCATCATGGGGCAGTGTGAGTCTGCTCTTTATAGAGTCCTCGTACTGTTATTTTAATTGTCGCTTATGTGCTTTGCTTCAGGATTTTTCTACTTACAACATAAAAACATAGTAACTCTGATAAAGGCTCTCCTTAATAGTTCATCTTTTTATAAATATAAAAATAGTTTACTTTTTCCTCTCAATTTAAAACCTCAATTCCACCAAAAACTAATATCTAGTCAAATTATTAAATGATCTTTTTAGTGGAATCTTAAAAACACAGTTTTTTTTTTTTTAATTTAGAAAAACCCATACAAAACATACAAAACAACTAAGATATGTATGAAAGTTTTTTCGAGACAGGGTTTCTCTGTGTAGCTTTGCACCTGTCCTGGAACTCACTCTGTAGCCCAGGCTGGCCTCAAAATCACAGAGATCTGCCTGGCTCTGCCTCTCCAGTGCTGGGATTAAAGGCGTGCGCTGCCGCCACCCGGCCGATATGAAAATTTACAACTGTCACATTGTAACAGAACGCACAAAACTCAAGAATGGTGATAATTCAAATGCAAAAAAGCTGTCACCAATTTTGAAAACAGGTTTTTCAATGCTCATGGTTAAGCTTTTAAAAAAACAAAAAACCACTCACGCTCCACTTGCTCAAACATTACTGAGAAGAGGAAGTCTCGGGGTGTCATGTAATATTCTCCTTCATGCTCCAGGGATGAAAACTGCATGAACCGCTGATTACGTAGAGAAAGTTTCTCTATTGGTCCCAAGTCATTTTTCTAAAAGAAAAAGAAATAATAATTAAAAAATTTTTTCAGTATGATTGCCAAACTCAGCTACCCCTAGAATTACATTTAAAGAGTAAGTTAGGTCTCACAGTCCCCAACGTTTACACTAGTCATACAACAAATATCAACTAAGTCCCTCCGTTTTAGGCACTGAAGGTAAAATACCAATTGAGACTAATTGGAGGGCAGTTACTTTCAAGTGGGAGAATGGCACTGGCAGGCGTGTAAAGTCACCGAGATGGGACAGCGGTAGCAGGTCTCTTAGTTAGACAAGGCTGTCTTTTGAAGGAATGGCACTTACAGAGACTGTGCACATGAGGTGAGTGAGTCCTGTTCTCCTGAGGAACAATGTCTTAAGGAGGAGCAGAAGGCACTGTCACCAGGGTGACAGGAAGAGAGTGTCGAAGTCACACAGATGTGCTCCCATGAGGGGCTCTGTCCACACAACTATGAATAGTAAAGTGCAGACAGGATGCACACGGGTCAGACACTGTTGGTGCTGCAGTCTCAGGTCTTAGGGCTGGGCCTTCCCAACAGCTGAGGGCAGCGCTGAAATACCCCAAGCTTTCTGTTCCACTCAAGGCCTTCCGCCTCTGGTTTCCACGTTATCCTCCCACACGTGGATAAGCCTGGTGCTGGACAGACTGACATGTGGTTGACAACACTGGAGCCGATGCGGAGCCTCGATGTGAGACTGCGCTGCTCACCCTGGACTGCTTTCCTACAGCGCCATTTTCACTGGGCTACGCGTCCTCCCAGGACACACCTACTTCTCCTACTCCACACGGATCCGGGAATTTACCCTGACCTACAGGCCATACACAGTGACTGCCGACTCAAACCAAAATGTAAGAACTAGGAATTCTGGCCACTTAACCCTCCTCACATTCAAGGCCACCAGAGGCCTCTTTTTGCTGATGTGAGTCCCTAACTAGTTCTGTCCCCTGAAGTAGACAACAGGCTTGCTGAGCGTTCAGTTTTGCTCTTTTTGCATTCTATTCAGTGTACTAACAGCCTACAGAGTACTAACAACATACACAATGCACACCAATGCTAGTGTCTCTATGTACTTTCTGTTCTTTGCCCATACATTGTTACTATAAAACTACCAAAAGGTGAGGCGGGAACTCAGAACCTCGCACAAGCTGGGAAAGTGCTACCCTGACCTATAACTCAACCCAAGGGCAAGTTTTATTCACAGACTTCATACTCATCCTCACAACCAGGAAGTGGAATCACAGTAACGCTTTCTGAATGTTATATATGAAGCACACACACACACACACACACACACACACACACACACACACACACACACACACACGGTGGTATTCTAATTGTACTGAAATGTGATTTTCATTGTATGTTAATAAATAAAGTTGCCCGGGGGTCAGAGCTATTAGAGCCATAGCAAGAGTGTGGTGGTGGTAGTGGTGGTGGCGGTGGCGGTGGCGGCGCATGCCTTTAATCCCAGCACTTGGTAGAAGAGCTAGGTAGATCTCTGTGTGTTCAGGGATACAGCCAGCATTGGAGACATACGACTTTAAGACCTAGAGGGCTGTCTCGAAAAACAAAACAAAACAAAACAAAACAAAACAAAACAAAACAAAACAAAACAAAACGACCTAGAGGGCTGTACTTACAGGCAGAGACAAGGCAATCATGTGTTTGGGTTTACAACCAATGAGAAGGCAGAACAGAAAAAGTATTTAAAGACAGACACACAGGAAGTAGCTCTCTTTCGGGGAGGTAGGAGCACCGCAGGAGGTAAGATTTTAGCTCTGAGCTCTGACCTCTTGGCTTTCTCTTTTACATTGGTTCTGTGTTTTTTATTTTAATAAGACGGTTGGTTACATCTACACACACACACACACACACACACACACACAGTAAAACATAGCAATATATGTATCGTTTTGCTTAACAAAAGAAAAAGCAATGGTAAGTCAGACAAACACTAATTTCCGAGGAAGTCTCTTATGCTTTGACAGTGAATTTATAAAATCTATGGCCAGGAAAGGGAGGGTGGGTTGGAGCAAAACCAGGAACCTAACTGCATTTGCAAGCCCTAGGGATCAGAACAGCAAAAGGCCAAGCATGAGTATGTGTCGTAACTATATGGAAGAATTTTAAAGGCATAAAGTTAACTTACAGTCTATTAAGAAAATAGCAGCTGGGCAATGGTGGCACATGCCTTTAATCCCAGCACTCTCCAGGCAGAGGCAGGAGCATCTCTGTGAGTTTAAGACCAGCCTGGTCTACAGAGTGAGTTCCAGGACAGGCTCCAAAGCTACACAGAGAAACCCTGTCTCAAA